CAAGAAGGAGATGGAAATAAAAGTTTTAATTTAGAAGACAAGGTTACTCCAGTGAAAGAAAGTGAAGAACATGATGTCCAGGTCAGTGAAACAGCTAGCAAAAAGAAAAAGAAAAAGAAAAAGAAAAAGGACATTATGGTCTCTGAGGTGAATTTGAATGATGAGGATGTTAACGCTGACAACAAAAACATGTTTAGTACCCCAGAGAAAGTCAATTCCAAGTTTAGCTTTGTGGAAGAAGGCATTAAAGATCCAGTTGCGGTGGAAAGTGAAGAGCAAGAACCTGTCGAAGATGGTCAACCTCAAACAGAATGTGGTGATGTTTTGATTGGGGACATCAGGCGAGACAGTGGTGAGGGTTACAATGACTTAGACGAGGAGACAATACCAACCAGTAAAGACGAGAAACTCCTCCTTGTTCCAAGTAAAGAAGGTGGAAGTTCAACTCCAGAAGCCGTGACAGATAGAGAGACAGATGGATCAGCAACAATTACAACAACTGCTGATGGGGCAGCTTATGAACCTGTTGTAGATAGTTCTTCTATAAACTTGTCTATAGTAGATGATGTGGAGTCAGACACTGGTGACGACTTATGCGATGTGGCAGTAGACAATGAGGGGTGAGTACACTTACGATAGGGTAGAAGCTTCAAGTGAGAAAGTTGCCTTATCATATTTTTCAAAGTTCCTGTGAACAGTCCAGACTTTCGGCTGCGGGATCCGAAGAAATTAATAGTTAATTTTAGATGAGAATGCAACCTCATTCCCTATATGCAGTATATGAGTATCTTTAAATGATTTCAATTGTGAATTAAACTACCACAGTCACGAATAGGGCACCCTACTCGTCCTATCATCCTTACTGTGCGATTGATAGAAATTTGAATTGTATCTTGTTTCTGTCTTCAGGAGAAACGTATTGTGTATTTACAAGCTCATTTATGGGGTTGGTCTTGAAGCACTGAGGAATTTGTTTATGGAAATCAATCCAACTTGGTCCAATCAGCCCTCTGATGCAGCAGCATTTGATAGGGGGAAGATGAAACTTACTAAAGATGATGAAGTCAGTTTTAAAAAAGGAAATATTCACGGATGGGATTTCTCACTGATTACAAGCATTCTTTTATTTTCGAACACTTGTTCCTCGGAGATGAAACGCAGACCAGGCCATGACACTGCCCTCAAAGAGTTAAAGAAGTGTCGTAATAAGGTGCTAGGTCATCCCTCTACAGACAAGATGTCTGATGCAGTCTTTAACCACTACTGGCCTCTTCTTTCAACCCATTTTAGTACAGTTGGCGCTGATCCAAATGTGATCGCCGAAATAAAGCTCCAGTCAGGTATTGTGTCTTTTATCCTGCCTCAAAGGCATCAAATTTTTATTAGTTGTGTTGGATTGAAGGGTTTGTGTTTATTTATATTCCTGTTTGTTCCGTTCTTTGTCGAACGTAACAGATCTCTTGGAACTCAAATTTAGAGTTAAGTAAGGAAGATAGCGCTCGAATTTTAGAAAATTGACATCAAAGTCTTAGAATCGACGAAATGAGCTTTCGAATTTATCTTTTTTGTATTCTCAAAATCGATATGAATTGGCGAGTGAGGTAGAGATTTATCGGGATATGAAAGGTTCGCATTTATTTTTATTTTTATTTTATATCTTTCAAGTTAAAACATGTTTTTTTACTCCTTTTCTCAAAACGCACACGCCAAACAACTTACATTCCCTCACGTAATATGAAAACAACGTCCAAAGTAAAATCAGGACATACCCAGTCATTGCACTACATGAACATTAGGCAATTTTTCACGTGCTTGAATTTTCTTCTAACAATCAAATTCCATTTCACCCCATTAGATTTTTATCATGCATTTTATCACGTATTTAAACAGCATTATCCGCATTATCCAACACCACCAAAAAAAGTTCACATGAAACTTGAAGCTACTGACATTGAATTTTCCATGCATTCTCCCGCGTTTTGAATTAACCCAATTGCATGTTAATTCCCTGTAAACCACCTGCACTTTATCACACATTTCACACTCAGAGGGCAAAGTCTAGGTAGACAACAACCAATCAAGGAACCCTCTTTGAAAGATTATCCTTTTCTCTTGCTCAGTGTATCTTCCCTCCAACGAGATCTTAATATATCTTTGGTTAGGGTCTATTGGAGGTACAATCGTTTCAGTCTGCTTTTCGCAGTAAAATTAAGTGGAATTATATTTTTAAGGCGACCAACTGTAGACGAATGATTTTGATGTTCTTTCTCTGAGAGGAACGGTTGTAAACGTAGTCTCTTTCGCAACCGTCACGCAATGGCTCTATCCAATGGAGGATAGAGGGCGTTGTGTAACGAGACTAAACAATGGCTGCGAAGGAGACTACAGTAAGCGGAGCACCGATGCATTTTATTTTTGCTCAGAAGTATGTAGACAATAGAGACAATAGACCACAAAATACCTGTGTGAGTTTAGATAAACTATGTTTTTCCTCTTTCTCTTGAAGTGAAGTAATACAATATTTACGTTCTTTTGAAAATTACGAAAACATAAGGAACACAAAGTGTCCCATTTCGACCTACCCAGCTAAAAAATAACTCTTGCATGCTACGCATGCCTATGTTTATGTGTTGCCATGGCTCAAAACTATCGTTTAACTGACGACTTTCTGTTAATGGAGAACACATTCGTGTGTTTTTGGTTTAATTCTTACAGCAAATGTGAAGCTCATTCAAAAAAGAGACTTCTACAAAATATTCTACATTTTTTGGAATAAAATCTGATTTGTGGTTTATTCATCTTCTTTCCTAGATGAAGTCCTTAATGCTGGAGGACACTACAAGGAATTGTTTTTGACTGAACGAGCGAAATTCAATTCTTTGGAAAAGAAGGTGGATGAATTAACGGGCAAGATCGAAACCTTTATCGCTGATCAATCTAACAATTCTACTGACAAAACCCCCATTAGTCCAAAAGATCTTAGTGGCCCTAACTGGGATGAATTTTTGAAATTCAGAGACGCAGTTGGTGACTTTGACACTCGCAAGAACCAGTACATCCTTATTACCGATGCTCTCTCGCGAGATGATCTTGGCTACTTTTCCATTCTGAGAAGCATACCCTGGAAGATGGTGGTAGACTTTGATCCCATGTCAGAAGAGAAAGGGTTGTATTACTCTTTTACTTCGCAGGAAGGGCAAGGAAGTCTAGTGAGCATGATTACACCAGCAGAGGTCAAGGGAAGTTCCATTGTAAGCCTTGCACGTCAGATTGATCCCAATAAAACGCAGTGGTTGTTTGTCAAAGGAAGATCAAGTGACACAGATGGCAAGATGCAGAATTTTTCCGAGTGGGAGTCATCCTCTGTCAAAGAAATCTCAAGATTTTTTGGATGTTGTTGTGATCCGGATAAGTTTGACAGACAGAAGCCCGTGGTGTGCCTTGTTCTTCCATTTTGCCGAGAAAGTGCTCCATATTTGGAAGTAACACTGAGTCGACTCTTCGAGAACTTTGATGATCAATTCAGTTTCCAAACAGTATCCCTTAAGCAAGAGAAACGTCTGTTAGTTTTTAGCAAGGTCAAAGTGCGTAGAGTGCAGCTGTGCCCTAGGCTTGTCCATTTGGGTTTGAAAGAGATGCTGTCTTCATCTTCAAAGCAACAGTTTCGAATGCCCACCTCCCAAGCCAAGGTTTATGTAGACCTCACAGAGAAAGAGTTCCTTTACTTGAATGAACATCTTGATATTCTGTACGAGGGCTGCGAGGGCTTACCAGATGGCTCAAACGACCCGTTAGATGAAGAACAGCAAGTGAAAAACTTTCTAGATGAGCACAGGAAACTCTTTATGTCGGGTAATGAAATTTCTTTTGCAAGTCTCTATGACAATCATGATGCAAAGAGAGAAATTGAAAGAGACATTCAAATCCATGTCCAGCGTGTGCTAGACAATGGACTTACACGTTCAGTGATGGTGGTTATTAAGCACTTGCCAGGTACTGGAGGCACTACTATTGCTCGCCGAGTGATGTGGGACCTCCATAAAGATTACCCTTGTGCTTTCGTAGACTTAAGTTCTCATATGTACTTTGAAGAAGACAGTAGTTACGCCAGGAAACTAGCTGATCGGATTGTCGCACTGGAGGAGATCTGCCAAACTTCCCCTGTAATCTTGGTCGATGGAAAGCAATCTGGTTCAATCGAAAGCATCGCAAACAAAACCATACGGATACTGGGTAACTTAGGAAAGCGAGCCTTGCTCTTGTGTTGCCAACACGGCTCGAAAACCTCAACAAAGGAACCTCAAGAGCTATCTTGTGTCCATCATGTGTTTTATGTCGATGCGAAGCTCGAAGACTCAGTGGCTGATCTGAATGAATTTGATTTAAAATACAAGGAATTCATCGAGAGGTCCCTAGCCGAGAAGTCAACATCAGGCCCTTGTCGCGTGTTTCATTTTCCACTCTTGGCAATGATGGAAGAGTTTCGACCTAAGTTAAAGAAGATAGTTGAAGACACATGGAACGAGATGGAAAATCTTCAACAGCAAATTGCCATTGTGGTAGCATTCCTTCAAAAGTTTGCCAACCGGCCAACACCAGCGCTTCTCCTCTATGATGCTTTTGAGAGCTACATTCGTCTGGAGTGTGGGAAAACTGTCACATACAGCGACATTAAGCATTTGTTCTCGGAGCATTTACTGAACCTTATGGTACCCTCGAACCCTTGGCTACGTCGAAGAAAATTGTACCTCTCTAAGGAACCATCTCCTCAAAGTTATACATTTCAGCATCGCCTAGTGGCTGAGATGTTGGTGAAGAAGTGTCTGCAGGAGCAAGGCTGTGATCTGTTTCAGGTGGTGTACCAATTTCTTCAATTTCCAATTTATAAGCGTGACAACCGCGAATTCCTGACACTTTTTGAAGAGCTTTTCGTCTACAACAAAGACTGTCAGAAGAAGCTAAAATTTTCGGTCCTGTTTGAGGAGCTTAAAGGCATCAACTCGGAACGTGCTGGAGAAGTGTTTTGCGAAGCAGCAGAGAAGACTGGTGATTCTGTTATTTTCGCCCATGCAGCACGATTTTTCGCAAAGCTGGAGTCTCCCTCGTTTCAAAAGGCAATGAAGCTAATTGATCAAGCCTTTCAAGTCAATACCTCTGGCTCCAGACAGATATTCAGAAGCATTTGTCATACCAAAGGAGTAGTACTTCACATACAGCTGCAACACATGATCGCCACTGGCAGAGTCAAAGATCTGAATACTCTCGAAGAACGGGCAAGCAAGGTTTTAGAGGCTTACAAAGAAGCACGCGGCTTTCCTCTTAACTCTCCCAATCCCCTAATTGGTGAGGTAGAGGTATGGCTTGCGTGCCTTGGGTGGATCATGCGAATCCACTGCAAGCGGGATTCCGAACGTACTCTAAAGTTTCTGGCCAACCAGTGTCCCCCATTCTTTCGCACTTGCGTGAGTGATTCATTTTATCTTCTCGACGTTGCTGACAGAATCATTCAAAGTGAACCGAACCTAAATGAACCAGAGGAAACTCAAAGAAGATGTAACAACGCCAGGCTTGCTCTCATGAAGTCTTTTGGTACTAGTTCGTCTTCAAACGGACGTGGACGAGATGCAGAAGATGTGGTTCAAGCTTGCAAGGCACTTTGTAGTGCTAAAAACTTTCCAAAGTCTTCTGCATTAGAGTTAAAAAAGCTCCAGGCGCATTTCATCTTGAATTCCAGTGATCAGATTGACTCTCTAAAGCAGGATCATCTCGAGTTTTTGCTGAAACTCTTAGAGGAAATTGTGCTTAAGGATCATGAATACCAATTAGCATACCATTTGATGAAGGTCTGCGTACTGGTATCAGGACCACAGTGTTACAGCCTCGAACAAGGCCTCACTGTGTGTGACAAGTGGCTGGAGGTCTCTGGTCATGACTGTCTTCCTTATTTCTATCAAATGGTGGTTTTCTTTCTTAAGATACTTGACGGCCGAATCGAATTCACGCCAATGTACTTCAAGGCCTTGAAAATGTGCCGAGAGAAGTCACAGAACCACTGTCGTAGTAGCCAATCAACACTATTTGTGAGAAAAGAAGGGGAAGGAATGTCACGCCTTGTTACTCGCAGTACCTTGTTCCGTGGGGAAACGGACTATTCAACCGATGTTTCTGAAACGGTCACAAGGTTCTGGCTCGTCGACAGTAGAAAGAAATTGCATGAATGTAAAGGAAGGATCCGCGTAGAGTCATCTTCTCATAGAGGGAAAACGTATCCCTTCATCGAATTACCACAAGGAAATGTGGCCCTCTACGTGGGAAAGAATGCAGATATTGGCAAAGTGGACAGGAATTTCACTAAAGGACAGCTGGTTTATTTTGTGGTTAGTTTCAACCTTCAGGGTCCTGTTGCAAACGGTATTACCTTCTCCCCATACAAGCCTTCCTCCCGTTAGAAGCATGTAGTGACAAAAAATTACACTAAATTTACAACCTGCTGATCTTTCCTTACAATGCAGACGTTACCCGAAACGAACTGTCATTTGTGGTTTGAGGCAAGTCAATGGTAACATCGTTTTGTTACTTTCAGTGACAACACCCCGTGTCGTCACTAAAAGGAGCCATTGTAAACAGCTCGAACACGATTCAGATAAAAACTTTTGTATCTTTGAGGTTTACAGTTGATTGATTGTCGTAAAAATTACAATTTCGTAAATGAAACTTACCAAATTAATATTTTGATTGTTAAGACGTTAACTGAACTGTAAATATTCTAAGATTTTAACTTGGTGTGAGGAAGCTGAAGTACCTATTGTGAACAGTTTTAGAATGCTCTGCGTTTCTTGAATTGAGAATTAAGTCCATTTACCAATAGGTTCTTTTTTGCTTTGTTGTTTTCTTTCTGTGTAATATTGGTTTTTTACTTTTTTTGTGTTGTCTGCTCTTTGTGTTAGTTACTTTCAGTAGTGTTAGGTGTCGGCTCTAAAGACAGGTGAATAACTATCTAATTATTAAGATATACAGAAACAATGCTTACAAGTAGAAGTGCATTGACTCTTGTCTTTTAGCGTGTTTAAGAGGTAGCTTTTCAAAGGAATTATATGGTTAACCTATTATATGGGAACTGTTTCGCAGATATTTGCTGTAAAGCATTGCAAAACAGAATGCTGAAATGGAGGCAATGAATTGATTGAATTGTGTAGAACATAGCTTTCTGATATCATTTTTATAACTCGGTTGTTTGATTTTAACAACTTGTGAATAAAAAGCTAGTTTAATATCATGATAAATAGTCTCCTCCTTTTTGGAAAGTGCCCTGATACTGATTTTTTGACCAGTTTAAAGGCAGCATTTGGGGACGTTAGCCTGTTAATAGCTTACCCTCTTTAGCTCCTGTAGGTTCCAGAAAAAAACATCATGGTAGATACCTAAGGAAATCGGTTAATTCTCGCCGCTCACGTTCGTTAGTTAGTCGTCGATTGATATCCGGACTAGTTTGGCGAAAACGTTAACTAATTTAATTTAATTTATTGCAAACGTTAAATAAAAAGGTCTAGGGAAAGGAATGGCGATTTCCTTCAAATGTTCCCTTGATTGTACTTCAACGTGCGTCAGCCCGAGGTACGACTTGTTGAACCTTGGCGTCTTCATTTTGCTCTTGGCTTTTGTTTCGAATTCCAACGCGTAAATGGCAAATTGTCCGATACAGCACACATAAGTTTGCACACCGGATGCGGAAGTCCTAACGGCCAAAACAGTCGGAGACTGAAGCACGCGAAAAAATATTGATAACATGTGGCTTGTGGCTTTCAAATTATAGGTTACGAAGAAAGTTTTTAACAGACTGCGATATGTTTACATTTTTAACAGTCAGCATTGACCGGGGCAAGTTTGATGGCCCAAAATGGCTTAGGTAGGTATTACACTCAGTTGAAGATCCTGGTGAATATCTGGGCCTCGCCCTAGTATCGCGCAAGACCCGCATCGAGATCAGAATCTCTCTTACCCTCACCTCCCTTACCTTTACCTCCCTCCATACTGGGGCATTCGGATTGGGTGCCCGCGCTCATCTCAGTGGTTTCACGCAGTAAATCAAAATGGCTGCGCGTTTAAGATTGGACCTTCTAGTTTAAATGCCGATCTTTCGTGCTTGGCAGATGAATGTAACAGGCTGTTCGAATGTGGAGCAGACTACCTTCACCTGGATGTTCTGGATAGGTATGTGTCGTGAGAATAAACTTGGAAATAAAACGGATTTGTGGAGAAGGGAAGAGTTCGTGAATTCGCTACTAGAATATGAGATTTGATTCCTGTTTTCTCACGTGAGGTCTTCTGCACCTTCAAGTCCAAATCACGTACACTGATTCCGCAATAAAATTAATTAGCATAATAATAATAATAAATAATAGGAATAATAGTCGCCGTTTGTAGCCAAATTAGATCAACAGAGTTGTTAACATATAGCAAAGAGGTTACTTTGTTGACTTGTGACAGCAAATTTGCGAGAGACCTGCAATTGCAAGTCTTTTCTTTCCAAATCTGGCTAGGAAGGTCATTGTACTATGAGTTTTTTTCCTAGATTTCTCACTGCTTGTCAGCGACTATCAATTTTTCACCCCTTCACTCTCCAAACAAGGTAGGATTTTGGTGCGTGGGGCTTAGGTTTTTATAATTGTGACGAAGCTAGCAAAATGGCAACGATCTTCAAACCGTTTTTTGCGAAGTTGCTTATTTAAAAAAAAAAAAAAAATGATGTTAAGATATCATTTTTCAAGTAACAGAAAAATGAGGGCCTGGATTCCTACCATGTTTGAGTGATGCAGGAGGGGGTCTCAGATAAAGTTTGGATGGTGCTCACAAATTATTCACAGTCAAAAGGCTTGAATTCAATGTATGGCAGAACTGAACAACATTTGATTATGTATGCAAAGCCATGTGAAGTCTGTGTGCACTATGTGCAATTTAATTGCTGGAAGTTGCAGTCCTCTTAGTTTTACAGTTGTCACTGGGATTGCTGTTATTTTGGTTTGGATAGGACAGTTTTAGAGAGAAGACTCTAGTTTACACTTTTAGCTCTGCAACTTTTTATAATGGTCGATTCTTTTGATTTGATTAAAAGTTAATATTGAATGTGTTACTGAATTATCATTTCTAGTCATTCATTTTCTTTTTTTCAGCCATTTTGTGCCAAATTTGACATTTGGTGCTGACCTTTGGTAAAATGTTTGAGAAAGAAAGTTCCAAATGCCTTTTTTGGTGAGTATTAAGTACAATTTTTGTAGGAGTAACAAATTAAAATAATACTGACATTTTTTCATAAAAAAAGGGGCTTTGGGAACCATTAAATCTGGAAAAATCATAAGAAAACATGATAACCATCTTTTTCTGTGATTTTAGCCTTTCATGATATGATACAGAACCACTTTAAAAACTATGTGCAATTTATGTTGCGCAAAGTTTGAATCAAGATTTTGATTGGTCAAAAGTCAGGAAGAACCTGAACTACTTGTATGTATTGTCTCAAAGACTTCCGTAAGGACTAAAGGAACAACATGAAGGGACTTAGGTTGCAATGATTTGACGACCAAATACCTTCAGATTTATAGGCTGGGGTAAATCATTAGTTTACAGAAATTTTTGAAAGTTGCATACTTAGGTGGTATACTGTGGCCTCTGGATAAGGAATAAGATAATAGGATATAGGGGCCCATTATTCAGCAGGCTCTGAGCAAGTATGTTTTGAAGTTTAGTTGAATTCAGTACTTTTATCAGTCTTACTGTTTGTACATGCACCAATCACAAGTTGAAATTAATCATGCACTGAGAAAAATTCCTATCAATTATGAAATCAACTATGTCATGCTTGATTGTTTCAGATATGCATATGATGGTTGCCAATCCAGAGAAGGTAGAAGACTACTTTTCCACGATAATTTGAGAGCACTTGAAATGTTTTTCAAGCAAAGGTTTTCTTTTAACATGTTAAGTATGTTTTAAGAGTCAACAAAAAATGGCTCGTAATTCTTTATTGGATAGTGGGTGGATGACATGGCAGATGCAGGGGCTGACCAGAACACCTTTCACTTTGAAGCAACAGGTCAGGCATGATTGAGCTTAGAATTTATTGATCAAAAATTATTTAAATTTGATTGACTGATTGACCTATAGTAGAACAATTAACTTGCAAATCCACTCTAAATTCCGAATCTTAATAAAATTAAATGCATTTCCAGTGGACTTGATTAACCAAATCAAAAAGGCTGGCATGAAGGTCCTGTAGTTGATTTCCACAAAATTTAGTACCTTGATAGAATTTTATGAAGTTGATTGAAGCACATCCATATGATGTTCATTTCATCCCATTTAATATAAATTGTTAGCATTTATTAGGAATACCTGTTTTTTTTTTGTCTTGCATCTGGCTCTCAAACTCTACCAAATAAACTATGATAGACAGATTAATTCTCCTTTGAAATGTTCCTGTGTTCCCCTGTACATGTGAAATAGTGGATTAAGTTGATTATGCATTTATTTAAAATTATATAGTGACACTGAGGAGTTTTTTCCAATCACCTTCTCTTTGGATAGCTCCCAGTAAAACAATTTCTTTTTCATCTCTTTTGTTCTAAAAGTACATTTTACAATATAAACAACTCTCATAATTAATATTTTGGTTTGTGGTCATTTTGATGCACATTTACAGGGGTTTCATTAAAGGCCAGTAACTGGCAGTCTTCCACCACCTGTGAGACCTCTCACCACCATAACTCCCAAGGTCTTATTAGTAATTCTCCTTACTGTCTGCCATGCAGTTCTTGTGATGTTAGTTTGGAGAATTTGGTATTGGATCAGCTAATGATTCCTTAGTTAATATTTTTTTTTATTCAGACTCATCACTTGTCTGCTTGATATTGTATTGATATTGTAAGGAGAAATTCTGTCTTGGTCACTCGAGGGAGTTATAGGTTAACTTGTGAGTAGGCTCTGATGTTTAGCTTTTGTCTTAAAACACAGCTGCTAATTGCACCATCAGGAGCTGAAGCAAGCCAGTGAGTGATTCAGTTTATCTGCAACATTTATGGGGAAGTTTTTGGCATTGGATTTTGTTGATGATGACCAATGGTCATGAATTTAATTGAAAATATTGAATCTAAAGAACTATATGAGGTTTTTTCTGCACACCCCATTAATTTGTTGCACACTGGAGGAAACTCAGACCAAAATTTGCTCACATACATTTTAGTTAATCATTATCAACCCTGTCAGCACTTCTCACAATTTTGGTCTCTTACAAATAGTGCAAAAAGCATCATTCAATGGAAATCTGGAACACAGCAATACCAAAATGATTCAGTGCAGAGACAAAGAAAGTTCAGTTGTCTGACTTGTTCACCACCTGTTTCAAAACCTCAGTTTAGTAATGGATCAAACTCTTAATTTACTGTTTCCTCTATAAATTAAAACAAGACAAACTAATGTATGTATACCACTGTTTACAGTCATCTCCATTTGTTTAGCATATCTACAATATTTTAATGTAGGCATTTAAATAAGGTACCCATCTTTAAATTAAGTACATTTTTGACAAAGCTGTTTAAGAAGATGAAAATTACTGAGCTACTTTTAACTATTGAATGTTATAAATTACAAGATGCATCTTTGAAAATTATTATTTCCTTTGGACTGAGGGCCACAGATTTATGGTTTAAGGAGAGACTATTACTTGGTGAATACTTGAGGCTAAAACCCCAAAGCTACAGCCCAAATACTTGTTCTAACAATAGGTAAATAAAGAGAAAGCATGGGCAAGACTTGATTACAATATACTTTGATGCTATTGGAAATATGGTAAATGAAGGTGAGAGCTATCACATGACCATGGTACTTCATAAAATAATAGCAATCCTAGAATTTCTTTTCAACAGACTGTTCTGTCCCTAATTCATTCTCCCACTTGTTTTATTTTTAAATTTTTCCCTCAAATGTTAAACAGTTCTCTTTCAGTGCTCTGGTATTTATGTTTGTTATCAATGACATTTCTTCCACACAGGCTAATTCCTCAGTCATCATCTTCCTTCTTCTCATCTCGCAGCATGTACCTGTAATTACATCATAAAAGTGAAATGTAATGCATGTAAAAGATTATCAGCTGGGGAAAATGAAGGGAAGTAAACTTGGGTCAAACTCATCTCTATTAGCAGTTCTTATGCAGATGATATGCTTAATATATTTTAGATAAATTATCTATCTTTAAAAATTAAATAAAAGTGTAATATTATACCATTTATAGCCACTGCTGTTTTTGCAATCAAGGTGTAATTTTGTTTATCAAAACAACCTTTCACTTCTGGATCTTAAAGGGAAATTTTCCAGACTGTCATGGGAAATTTGTCTGGGAGGAATTTTTATCTGAACAATATTCCCAATTCAATACTTCTGAAGTCTCATTATTCTCTGCTTGACTTTAAATACACTATGTAGGAGAACTTGCATCTTTTTAAACCCTTGCTAGACAACTTAATTTTGCTACCTTTACCTTAGTTCTCGACATGGAGTGAAGTAATTTGTGTTAGGAGCGAAATCATTTATTTGATGGAGCGATCTAACTTTCGAGTGGTTTTGCATTGCTACTAGAGAGTTCTTTCTTTAAAAAACCAACGTTAACTGCATGAGTGTTCTCATACGATTGAGGCTGTCTGAGATTTAAGATACGCCTTGTATTCATGTTCAAATCACCAGTCATTGCTCTCATTCCATCAGTTCTCAAAAAATCGTTTGTCTTTGTGTCAACATACCGTTTGTTTGTTCCGTGTGTTGGATTGATGGCATCACCCAGATTGATCAGTTTGGTCGACATATGATTTATCGTTAGCGTCGGTGTCATTTACTGGATCACTCTGGTTTATAATCTTGTTACCATTCAAATCGGAATCACTGTCAATAATTTTGCTAATGTGATTATCAGAAATGTATTTTTGGGTACAGGATCAAAATCCTTACAATCGGATAAAGCGGTTTGACAGTTTAATTTCTTATTAAGTTTCTTTTGGATATCATAGTTTCTATCACCGGTCAATTTAATACCAACACCAAATGATCCTTGATGACCAATGGGGCCGGGGGGCCCTGATCTCCGTTTGAACCTTTCAAATGTCTTCAAGGTGAATATCACCATTAAATTCTCCCATACATATTGAAGCAGTGTTTGATCAATTTTTCATTATAATTGGTGTCAGTATGTACGTGAAAATGGTTTTATGACGTCATAATCTTTTTGTTTGCTTGATTTGTTGATGCAATACAGACAATGGTATTCACATATTACACTCATCTAGTCTTGATACTGAGTGCTTCTGTAAAGATGATGCAATCCCAGTTGATCAGACAAATAACTTCTGTTGGACAGTTCAGACCGAAGTTTTCGAAATATTCAATCACATCAGGCTTAATGTTCACAGCTACCCTATGAGTTTCGGATCCGATTTGGTCATCCAATTCACAGCGTAATGATCTTTTTTGAACTGATTCCGTATTTGATCTTCTTAAAAAAAACCTTTGAAATTTTTTATTCTAAAGTATTTTATCCAGTTCAAGATATCAAAGTTTGATATCGTAGGGTCGACAAATTCGGGTCTTACAATATGGCCCCTGGAAGAGAAACCCAGTTGAGTGGTGGCTTTTTTCCCAGAAGGATACCTTTTTCAGTCCCTTTCTTTTCCTAACCAGTTGTCTTTTTGGAAGTGCCAACAAAAGGTGGTGGTTGATACGATATGAGCGCACTATAAGGTCTATTCTGAACACCATTTTCTCCCTGAATCGATGTTGTTGTTGATGTTGATGGTTGCGATTGTGGCTGTTGTCGCGGCACAGATGGTCGTGGCACTGATCGTCTTGGTCGATTCTGCATGCCTATGTTAGTCACTGCATTGAGAAGCAGAGACATACAAATGCTGGCCAAAAGAGTACCAAGATTAAAAGGTTTTTGTGTGTGCTCTGAGAACTGCTTTGCCACGCATAACCTCAACACTGATTTCTTCCTCATGCTATATAAGAGAGTACAAACTTTATGCAGCATTTCACTCGTTGTTGTCATTTGGGGCAATGTACTCATCCTTTGTATTTAGTCGATAATCTTTATCCTTGAAGATATTCTTGAACGAGGTACTTAAAAACGTAAGAAGTGAAAGGTAATTTACGACATAAACTACCATAAGAACCATCAGAAAAACTTTACATAACGTGATATTTTTTAATCATTCGTGTGCATAAAGCGTATGCGAAAATACTATTTTAGAATTGAATTAAATCACGCACGATAATTGCGATAACAAACATAATCCGAATGCATGCAAATAAGTTTCCATCAGCGAAATAATACCTCTTATCTCCGGTTAAGATTCTCGTTATTTTACTGTCTTGTCTCAAGCAAATTTCTTAGCTTCGATCTTAACTGACTCAACGCTTTGGCGTCCGTGAACAACTAGGAATGTATCTCATTTCCTTGTCCTTTAAACACATGACTCAAAACGGAAATTAAGTAATTAACAATCGCAGAATTACCATCTAGCTGAAGTGTGGTATTAAGACAATAATGTATAGTTTCCACTATGATTATATTAAAAAGAAGTTTAACGACAAAGCAAGATTACTTTTCACTGACACAGACAGTCCAACATATGAAATCGAAACCGAAGATGTATATAGAGACTTTTAGAATGATAAAGACAAATTTGAGAATAGCGATTATCCAGAAAACTCTCCATATTTTGATAAAACAAATAAGAAAAATTCAAAGGCGAGGCTTCTAGTGTACTAATAATTGAATTCGTCGGTCTGAGATAAAAAATGTATTCTTGAACAGATGATAGTGAAAAAGTGGGTAGAACAGCCAAAGGAATAAAAAAAATCGTCATAAAGAAAATGCATCATGAAATGAAAACTATCAGAAGCTACAGTCATCAACTCGAAGTTATGAACTAAAAGAAGTGTCCCTCAGCTGCTTTGATGATAAGCGATACAGTCATGAAGATGGTATAACAACATCATAAAATACGAAAGAAAAACATCACTGACATACTTTACTAACAAACTTTACTGGTAATCTTTCTTTAAAAATCAGCTTTTAATGTATACTTGTAGAGATCACATGATCTCACGAGACTTTCACACGACCTAAGAACAACAGCAATCTGATGACTCATTTCCTCGGGAAATCCCCTTTGGTATTACAATATTGACTTCCCTGTTTTCTGAGAATGTCACGCAATGGAAAAATTCTGTGAGATCAGATTTCATCAAATGATTTCATCAAATGATTTCACGAAATGATTCCATCAAACTATTTCATCAAATAATTTAATCAAATGATTCCACCAGATAGAAAGTAGTATAGAGAGTTGGTGTTTGTAAAAGATCACTATTCAAAGTGATCTGATACTGCCAACTACTATACCACTCACACCTACCATTCCACCAAAACGAGGTACCTATATTTTGTTCCCAGGTCTCCGTTGGATAGCGGTCGGTTCAAAAATATCTACTCGGCCGATATCTAGGAGGCCACGATGACGTGGCAGCTGTGTAATTTGTAAATAGTCAAAATATGAGGAACAGAGCGATTTCGTTCCAAGTGCTTACCGTTTAAGTAGGACAGCCGTTAATATGAAAGGTTGACGTGCTTAACAGCGCTGATGGGCAGGGGTAATTTTCACAGATTAAAGAGAGAGCGGATTTGCAAGGTAAGCATAATAATATTTACGCTTGAACATAAAAAAAATCTCTCAACTCAGGGATGATATTTGGCAATCGTCTTTTTGCTAGCGTTCTTTTGCGCTTTTTCGCGTCATGTTTTGTCCTTTTGTTCTTTTTGTTGTAGGTGTCAACCCCAACAGTTTCTAAGAGACGCTCTGCCACCTCGTGAATATTCACATCGTCTGGGCAGCTGCCGTGCAATTAATAAATTCTGATTTACAATGTCAGATCGCGAAAGGTTAGTGAATAAGTCATTTGTTTTCACAAAAAGTGTCGTTTTTGTGTGTGAGGTCCTTAACGTTTTTTATTCAAAATTCCGTTATTGGCTTCTAGTCAGACGTTTTCGGCCTGTTTTGATGATGACGTCGACATTACCGCTACTCAATTATCGTGTTGATTATACCTAAAAAGCATTAGACAAAAGCCCAGCGCGCAAGTGAACAATAAAATCAATCGGTAACCAATCAATTTAATGAGCGAGCAATCGTGCCTACCGATTAACAAATTCGGGAAGTTTCGCTCGCATCACTGATCTTTCGACCGATCTCCATTCTCGCCCAACGATGCTTCTTAGCATCCGCGCGGCTAATTTTTTAAAAATTTCAAATCGGATTTCTGTTCCTTTCCGATCGAGGTAGACCTTCTCGAGCTCAGAATAAAGAGGAACAATACTATGATAGGAAAATAGTGGAAGTCAAATTCTTAAACGCGATAAAATAAGCATTCGAGTCGACTACACTTAGAATCACCGAAGCGAATTAACTTATGGCTGTGAAAACGGAGGTTTTAGAAAGGTCATAGTTAAATTATGATTTGCCCGTAACGTATTGTCTAAGAAAATATTTGTATTAAAACGTACAACTTTCAGAATTTTCAACATAACGCTACGCAATTTTCTTTTCCTTGTGAAGTCAAGTAAACAACAAATCTAAGGATGGTGAATCCTTCTGCGTTGATTTTGCCGGTACGCAGAAGATCGAATTTCGTACGTTTTTCGCTACAACAGCATATCAAGAACTGTATTGAATAAAGCTTTTGTACCGAATTATTTTTTACCATTTAACAGGAGGGCTCAAGCTCTCTGTGAGAGGATAATATCATAGAGCTTTGTAGAAAGACACCGAACACATTATCGCAGTGGAATGTGCTGCACATAAAATTAATTACCTTAGAGCAACCATGAAACGTGAAAATGTGCTATACGGCGGCAAGCTTATTTGCATGTATCTTAACCTGGTACTCTGGAAATGTGGAATCTTTTAAATTTGGTAATATTAAAACGAGGCATTAGCTTACCCGCATTTGTCTTAACTTGGTGATCTAAAAATTAGGAAATCTGGAAATATGCAAATTAGTTTTAAGCTTACATTTATGTTAACTTGGTACTCTGGAAATGCGGAAATGTGGAAATCTGGGAATATGCAAGTGAATATTTGCTTACTCACATTTATGTTAACTTGGTACTCTGGAAATATGAAAATCTGGAAATCTGGAAACGTGTAAATGAGTCTTTGGCTTACTCCCTTGTATCTTAACTTGGCGTTCTGGAAATAAGGAAATGGCAAAATTAAAAGAAGCATAGCTTGATCATCATTGGAGCCTAGAGGATAAGAGAACCCTGAGGTTTTGTAGCTAGCCCCTTTCATTTCTTATTATATTGCTATGATGATAATTATTGTTACATGATGATTTGCCTCCACTTGATTATTGGTTGAATGTAAATTGTTCATTATATTCAGTCCTGAATCACCTATGTACCAACATGGATGCAAATCGCTTGTAAAACTGAAGACCGTGTGGCTTGAACAAGCTTAATTACCTGCCAAAACTATGGAGAATATAC